CTCATTTATACTGGATACCACATGGATGGTGGGATGGTCTGGGCTCAATCAAGCATTGTGGAGACAGAGTGGTAGATTGGCAGAGCCATCTCCCACGCTGGGGTCTTGTGGGTGGCAAGGCCGGTGCTTCCAGTCCACCTGAGCCAGCAGCCTGAGCCAAGCAGCAGTGTGTTCCTGCTGCTGCTCATGGCCTCAGGCCTTGCCTAGTTGGGAAAATGGTGGCCCCTTAAGAACAAGCCAGATTAGGTGTCATCATTATTAAATTTTAACTGTAACATAAAACTATTTATCAGGGATCAGTAGTAGGGCACTCTTCTAGCATGTGCAAAGTTCATCAACTGAATTTTGTTCAGTTTAAGGAAAACTAATTCAAACTCTAATCGTCTTATGGTAATATAATGATAACTGGTTAAATAATGTACAGCTGAATTCAAATTTTATGTGTAAAAATATGAATAATACTAGTATTATGGGAAATCAGAGGCAAACATTCAATTAGTCTTAGAGAGAGGAAAACCTGTCAGAAGATTTGAAGACTAATCAGGAACTACAAGCTTGAGAAAGAACCATGGATGATGGGGAGCACCACCATTCATGAGTCATGGCAGAAATAGAGGCTAAACAGAGTCAGGAGATAATCTGATAAAACTATAAAAGAAAAACCTGAATATCCTCTGACAGGACACATGCTCAGAATACTTTTTGTAGTGGGGTCTGAGCTCATGAAGCTCAGAGAGAGGCGTATGCTCACGATACCTCTCATAGGTATCTGCACAATCCAAGGGTAACATAGTTCCAATCTGTTACAAGCAGATGCTGGTAGAGAAAAGCAAGAAACAGAGAAAGAACTTGCCAGAGACACCCATAAAGGGCCTGAACCTGTAGCAGGGTATCAAGGTGGGCCTGTACCACAAAAAAGCTCTAAAAGGGAGACATCCTCATGATCAGCTCCTACAGCAAATGTGAAAAGTGTGAGAAACAACTGACCTGAGAATTTATAGTCCCAGATCAGGTCCCTGAGCCTAAAAGAACATCCACATAATGCCAGCTTCTTTCTCCTTCCTGCATAATCACCTGAGTTAGGTCAGCAGGTGCCTCTTCTGCATGTGTCAATGGATACAACTTGACTACATCTGTAATTAACTAAACCCCAAGTGTCAGGGTACACTCATGAGGGGTTTTTGTCCTCTCAATTAAATTATATGAGGTGGGAAGGCCTCAAACTCAGAAATCCATGTAGTGTTAATCTTGAAATTTTAGGTTCTTTAAAAAACACAGAAATATTGTATAAATATGTTTTTACTTTAATCCCAGGTGTGGGGCTGCTTCAGATTGTCCACAGCAGCTGACTATGACTTGCCTAATGCTCTAGCAGAGGCTTGATTTTTGTCAGCTGCAGATAGTTTCTGCAATGCTGTATGTTTGAAATCCTGGGTACTTTTCAGAGGGTATATAAATGCTAGGGCCTCAAAAGGCAGGATGGGTTGTTGCTTGCTATTGGTTGCAGTTTGTTAAATAGCTGTGTGCAAAGAAGAAAGAAGAACCAATTAGATGTCCTGACAGCAAAGATCAAACTTGCCCCAAGGAAATTGACATCCCTAATCAACAGGAAATAGATTAACAATTACATCACCCTCTTTCCTTTCTATCCTTTCTTCTACCTAGTGTTAAAAGGTTGAAAGGAAGCCAGGCAGTGGTGGTGCACACCTTTAATCCCAGCACTTGGGAGGCAGAGGCAGGCAGATTTCTGAGTTCGAGACCAGCCTGGTCTTGAAAGTGAGTTCCAGGACAGCCAGGGCTATACAGAGAAACCCTCTCTCAAAAAAACAAACAAAAAGGTTGAAAGGGTAGGAGAAAAAGGGTGGAAAAGGGTGGAGAAGGGTGGAGAAAAGAACCCACAAAGTAGCGAAAGACAAGCCACAGATCTGCCTACTTCTGCCTCCTGAGTGCTGGGATTAGGGTGTGCACCACCACCACCCAGCTGGGAAGACCCATTTTTAATCTAGATCTTTTGAGGTGGCTAGCTTTAATCCAGCCCACACCTTCTGGTGGCAGTCTATATAACATAGAAGAAGGAAGTTTGCTCTTAGCCTGCTTGCACTCACTCTTCCTGGCAAGTCCATACCTTCACTGACATTAGAAGCTACTTCTTTAGTATTCTGAAGAATAGTGGAGACATCCAATCTCCTAAACTGAAAACTACTGGATTCTTAGGCTCTCTGTTAGTAGACAATCATTATTAGACTAGCCTGTAAGCCATTGTAATAAACCACCTTTCTATATCTAAATATAGATTTGTTTTATCAGTTCTGTTCTTTTAGAGCACTGGTTCTCAACCTGTGAGTGGTGACCCCTTTGGGTCACCTTTCATAAGGGTCACTTAAGACCATCAGAAAACACAGATATTTATGATTCATAACAGTAGCAAAAATTATGAAATAGCAAAGAAAATAATTTTATGGTTAAGGGTCACCACATCATGAAGAACTGTATTAAGGGGTCACAGAATTAGGAAGATTGAGAACCACTGCTCTAGAGAACACTAACTAATATACCTGGTAAAATCCTAACTACTAATTAGGAACTTATGGGAAGAACAAACAGAAAAAAATGAGTTATCCATATATGTAATTCATGTATTTAAATCTCAGAGGACTCAGATTAATACATCATAGCAAGAGATGTTAAAAATGAAAAATGAGGCCAGGTGGTGGTAGTGCTCATGCCTTTAATCTCTGCACTTGGGAAGCAGAAGCAGGTAGATCTCTGAGTTTGAAATTAGCCTGTTTTACAAAGTGAGTTCCATGACAGCCATGGCTGTACAGAGAAACCCTGGAGAGAAAAAAAAAGAAACATAAGACAGAAGTGCATTGTTTTTGATAATGCATATTCCATGATGGGTAAGGAAGGCATTCTTGTCAGAACAACCTAAGACAGGCTCAGTCTTGTTAATGGAATAAAAAGTGGGGGAGAGGCGGAGAGCCTTGGAACTGCTTGGAAAGAATCTGACATGGGCCAAGGACAAGGAAATGGGCTGCTTGGCAGGAATCTGATATTAGGCTAGAGCAAAGAAGTAATTTCAGGTAGGAATCTAAATCTTAGGCTAGAATAAAGAAGTAATCTCAGGCAGGAAATCTAAATATTAGGCTAGAACAAAGAAGTAATTTCAGACAGGAGTCTAAATTTTAGGCTAGAACAAGGAAGTAGGCTTCAGGCATGAAAATGACCTTGGGCTACAACAGGGAAGTAGGCTCAGATGCTTTGGTCATCCTGATGAGCCCTTAGAAACAGTAATCATGGAACTATTCACATAATTGGGTTTAATGCCTTGCTTTTTCTTTGACTATTTGTGTTTATTGTTTTGCTTGTTCCTTGATTATTTGCATCTATTGTATTGCTAGACCCTCAACCTAGAACTGACCTTAATACATGCATGTGATTAAAATGGTATAAAAGCATAAAGAAGGAGGGGGTGGGATAGGAGGTTCTAGGGAGGGGAAATGGGGAAAGGAGATGATATCTGTATTGTAAATAAATAAAATATCCAATAAAAATTAAAAAAAAAGAAGTACTTCTCACACCTGTGATTGTATAACAAGATGCTTGGGAGCTTTGTAAGCAGTAGACTCTGAAAATTTTGATTATACTTTGTAAAAAACTGGACAATAAACAGAATGTTTATAATAAAAAAAGAGCAAGAAAAAAAAGAAACATAAACTAAATAATTAAAAATGAAGAAAAGAATAGTATTTTTGAATACATCTGTTTAGTGGAATGTATGAGAAGACAGGCTCTCCAACTTAAATAAAGGTGGTGGTTGTTATTTTGCATTTCTTTTCTGTACTTGAAGAACTTCTCTATGAGAAATTAACAAATATGTGTGTATGAGTGTGCATGTGAAGACCAGAAACCAACCTTGGGTGGCATTCCTCAGGAGCCATCTACCTTGTTTTTTTAAATGGGTCTCTTATTGGTCCCAAACGCACTAAATAGACTAAGCAGCTGCCCATCAAGCCCAAGGGATCTTTCTGCCCTCATCTCTCCAACACTGGAATTACAAGCATATACTACTACATCCAGCATCTTTTATCTGTGTGTTAGGTGATTGAACTCAGACCCTCATGCTTGTGCTGCAAGTATATTATCTAGTTCAACAAGTCTCCATTACATCAAAAATAGAAAACCATTTAGAAAGCTATTTGGCTGGGAGTGGTGCACACATGTGACTCTTGCACTCAGGTGGCTGTACCTAGCTACAAAGCAAGACCTTATCTTTAAAAATTACCCCCCAAAAAGTGTTACTATAAATGCAAGGGCATTTATGACTTTCCATTAAAAACAGTCATTAGAGTCAGGTGGTGGTGGTGCACACCTTTTGTCCTAGCACTTGGGAGGCAAAGGCAGGCAGGTCTCTCTGTGAGCTTGAGGCCAGCCTGGTCTATACAGCAAGTTCAAGGCCAGCCAGGGCTACACAGAGAAACCCTATCTCAAAAAAAAAAAAAAACACCCCACACTAATTGTTAGTAATTATGAGATGGAGATGGTTTTCGTAGATAGCACTTTGGTTGGAGTCACCTTCCCAAACAAATCCCTCTGCCCTCCTAACCAAAGTGACTGAGTTTCCGGGTAGAAAACAGCCATTCTGCCGAGCAGTGGTAGTGCACGCCTTTAATCCCAGCACTTGGGAGGCAGAGTCAGGCAGATTTCTGAGTTCGAGGCCAGCCTGGTCTACAGAGTGAGTTCCAGGAAAGCTAGGGCTACACAGAGAAACCCTGTCTTGACAAACCAAAACCAAAAAAAAAAAGAAAAAGAAAAAAAGAAAGAAAAAGATAATAAAGGAAAGGAAACAGCCATTCTTATTCTCAGAGCACATAGTTGATGCCTCTGATCCAGAACAAACACATAGAGTAAAACACAATTAGTGCCATAAGATTCTCTTCTGAGAATCGAATGTGCAGATGAAAACGTACATTAGGCATGGAAATGGGCAAGTAACTTACAGGATGCTTGGCTGAAAGTCTTCCTGTCACAGTTCCTGTCTGATTCCATGTAGAAGAGATGGAGCCCTTGATCAATTAAGAAGAATCAGTTTAAACCTATGCAATATGGTGTGAGAAAAAACACACAGACCCTTTACCTACAACCCTCCCTGTTCCTCTTGAAAGCTACAAAACAGCCTTGGGATCAGGGACAGCTGAGGGATACCCCCTTCTAACCCAAACAGAAGCAGCAGTAGGACAAGTAGCTCCATGTTAGTTATTAACTCTATATGTGTGTTAGGGGGCTGCAGAGACAGCATACACTCAAGTGAGATTATGACACATGTTCTGTTGCTTGTTGTGCAGTTTTATAAGTCACAGACACCTCTGACTGTTCTTATGTGCAAATTAAAGTACTGTCTACCTGTGATAGATATTATTGGTTGCCCACTTGACAATATCTGCAATTAACCAAACCCAATTGGCTGAGTACACCTGTGAGGGATTTATTTTTTTCTTAATTAAACGATTCGAAGTGGGAAAACCTCCTTTTAATCTCAGTCTTTTGTGGTGAGAAGTTCTACTTTTAATCTTGGCCACACCTCCTAGTGGCAGCCTATATAAAGGACACAAAAGGAGGAAACTTACTCTCTTTGCCTGTTTACACTCACTAGCAAGTCCATTTCTTCACTGGCATTACAGCCTACTTCTTTGGATTCTATCATATATTGTAGAGCAACTGAGACACCCAGCCTTATGGACTGAAAACTATTAGATCCTTGGACTTTTTGTTGTTAGATAGCCACTGGTGAACTAGCTGGATCACAGCCCATAAGTCATCCTCATAATACAACTCATGTATGTATGTATCTATCTATCTATCTATCTATCTATCTATCTATCTATCTATCTATCTATCTATGTGTGTATATATGTGTATGTGTGTGTACATGTATGTATGTATTTATGTTCATCCTATCAGTTCTGTTCCTCTAGAGAACTCTAACATATTACCTCACATGGCTCCAGAAAGACATGACAGTAGATGTGAAAGCAAGTCAGCTGCTGAACTGCCTCATACAGAGGATCTGATGGCATAAAACCAACCTGCACAGAGCTGGAGAGATGGCTCAACTATTAAAAGCTAGGCTCACAACCAAAATCAACCTGTACTGTGTGGAGACTTAGTAATACAACCACAGTCCATAGTTCCAAGAACAAATTCCTCTTTTACTGCAAAAGGGGTATGTGTACCTAAATTCAAAATAAACCTAATTACTAATCCCAATTTTCTTTTTTGTTAAGCCTTGGTTACCTTTTTCATATAAGCTAGTAATCCATCTATAAAAGTTGACTTGATCTTGTGAACCTACATCATAAAGACAAGCATAGTTATGTTCTTAAACTTGTTTAAGCATTCAAAGAGACCAACTCCATAGCAGCAATTCACATAGGGATGGGCATGTGGTATAAATTTCACCTAGGACAACCTCAAGTGGTGCCAAGATTGAATAATACAGATTAATAAAGAAATATGCCAATGTATCATTCTGCAATATTTCTAGGCTATGGAGATACTAAAAAAAATTGCTTTGTAACTTTAATTTTTTAATCTTATTTTTAGTGATAGTTCTTAAATGCTTTAATCTCCCTTGTAGCCCACCACCCACCAGAGGTAGTGGAAAAGAAAGGATATTGGGTAAGTGGACCTGTTTAGAAATGTTCTTTGGAGTAATTCTCATCTGTGTTGTTTGGAAATCAGCAGTTCAGTTCACAGGTTAGCAGTAGCAGGTGGATTCACTCACAAATACCTCACAGATATACCACAAGTCCAGTTCGGTAGAGTCAGGAGAAGCAAACAGAAATCAGCAGTGGTGGTACAGCAGAAGGGACCAGTAGGAACACCAGAAGTTCACCATTGCTCCTCTCTCAATGCAGCAAAGATCAACAAAGAGGCAAGACCAACAAGCATTGCACAAGTAGCTCTGAAAGCAAGCTTAGCTCAGCCTCTGTCACTGTTCATTTTTATCCCTCCACTTGTCCTTTGTGGGTCTCGCCTCAGCACAAATCTGACTTGGCAAAACTCCATGTGTGTCTGTCTCAGCTGACATCACTCTGCCAATCAGCCCAAGTCCTCAGGAGCGGCAAAAAAGCCTGGGCACATCATCAGAAGATTTTTGGTTTATTTCTTTCTATGGAGTCCCAGCAAAAAAAGCCTGGACACACCATCAGAAGTTTTTTAGTTTATTTCTTTCTATGGAGTCCCAGCAAAAAAGCCTGGGCGCACCATCAGAAGTTTTTTGGTGCATTTCTTTCTATGGAGTCCCAACAAATAGAGCTTACCTATACAATGTAAGGTGGCCCAATACAACATGTGTGTTGTTAGTGAAGAATCTGTGGCAGAAACTTCCTGCCCAATGTATTTGCAGCAAGAGCCCTGTCATTGGACCAGGAAGAGGGAGGCAGAGCTAGGAGTGGGAACGAGAGAGGAAGGAGAGAGAGGAGGGAAGAAGGAAAGAGGCAAGATGTCCGCAGACGTGTGTCTCTAGCAGGCTCTGGTAGTTATTCATATCAAAAGGTTAGATAATTGGGATAACAATTCTAATTGTGTGGGCATCTTGTGTATTGAGTATTTGTTAATATATAAATCCATTGGTTAACTTTAAGCATCAACAGTTTTGATTTACTGGGTTACTGGAAGGTGGGTCCGCCAACAACCAGGTGGTTATGGCTGTGAAAGAACTAGCGGCACCAGGGACAAGTGAACCTGGAAGCACAGCAACTGGTCACTACCAGGGCAAGTTAGAGAGAGCAGCCCAGTGGAACCAGCTTGGGAGCTCCAGTCTTGCTGGAGAGCTTGCTGAGACAAATGGGCTTAAAACATGGTGGCCAAGCCAGGAGCTAGCCGATGCTCCATTTTTTAAATACCTCTCGTTACAGAATCCATCCCATGTCCTTTCATGTGTTTGCTTTAGCAGAACCTGTGCTTCAGCTAAATGTTTCTTCACCAGTCTGCCTTAGCCATTTACCTGTCTCCACTTCAGGAAAACTCTCCTTCACGTGTTTACCCCAACAAAACACTATCCAGCACAACTGAATTTCCAAAGAACCCTTAAGTTTCCACTTCACTGCACAGATTTTCAAATACTCAGTATCCCCAGCAGTGGGCCTTTCTAGTTCTTTCCCCATCATTATATCACTTTGGGAAGATCACTAGTTTGGTACCGATGTATTTCTGTAGGCTCAGTAAACAAGGGCACTGTTGTTTGGTTTGTAAATGTGGTTAATGGATAACAGAGAACATGAATTAAAGAGCAGGTATATGAACAGAGAAAATGTGATTTAACTAAAAGAAGAAAGGGGGCATTTCAGTAAACCCTCAGTAACTATACTGTCTTGGAGCCTGGGAACAAGGAGAATGGCAAGACCGATGTGAGAAATGGTAGACTTCTCATTCTCACTTGAAAAGACTGGGTACAGGCCATCAGTCTTCTTCCTCATAGGATTCCTTGGGCTCCCAGTGTTGGGCAGAGTAGACTTGAGGAAGATGACATCCAGGGATGAAGAAGTGGGGCTGACAAGGTCACAGTAAATAATAGCACTGTTGTTTGGTTTGTAATTGTGGTTAATGGATTACAGAAAACATGAAATAAAGGATAAGTGTGTGTCAGGACAGAAAAGACACTATAAAGTTGGTCGAGAACATTTTATCTGCTTATGGTGTCGTGAATAGACAGGTTGGATAGTTCTCTATCACAAACCATTTACACACACACACACACACAGAGAGAGAGAGAGAGAGAGAGAGAGAGAGAGAGAGAGAGGGAGAGAGAGAGAGAGAATCAACTTACCTGTCTATATTCTAAAATTAACTTGGGTAATGGGTGAAGGTCTTGTAGAGAATTTAACTAGAAGTGAAAATATGTATTACCAATATAATTTCTTCATTTCAACATTCCAAATGTTTACTTTCAATTGGAGGGTGTGCTAGTAATAAGTGATGTAATTTAACATATTTTCCAAATGAAGATTCATAACAAAGTATCTTAATGCAATATCAAATATCTTAATCCAAACCCTTTATAAAATCATGTTGACATTTACCCAGGAGCTAAAATTACTTCATATGAATTGAAAATCAGAGTCTTCTCCAGACCTTAAATTACCAAAATCTAAATTTTACATAAAGAAATAAATCATGTGCCCCAAACATAAAATCCATGCTAGAGCAGCACCTAGCATTTCACTGGGTCAAACCTCAGGAAGCTGGCATAAGCTCTGAAATCCTAAAGCCACAGTATTGAACACACAGTGCTACTGATCCTAATCTGTTAATATGAAGTTCAAAAGAGGAAAAAGCAGCCAGTATTAGTATAGCTCAAGGTCAGGACCTACTAGGAAACTGGGATATTTATTCCTTGCCATGAGAGCAGATACATGGTGTTGGCACAGGAAGTAGTTCTATGTGCCTGTGAGTACCCAACATTACTAAACATGGTCTAACAGGATAGAATGCAAAGATCAGTCACCTGACATCATCTTTGACCTTCTTCCAATCTCACTCACAGCAAATCCTATGGTGTTTCTCCCTACAAAATATGTCAAACTCTGCCTTTTCCCTCCTGTCCTCGCCTCATCACCTTTGTCCTGTCACTTTTTCTCCTGGCCTCACAGGCAAATACACTCATATGCCCAGACACATAAATATGTGCACACATAAATACGCACATAGTCACTCTCTCTCACACATACACACACACACACACACACACACACTTACTTAAAAGCACAAAATTGCACCAAATTATCCTTTTCCAGAAGTATAGCCATCCAGATGTTCCTGGAGGGCAGCTACTGCTCATCTCCTGGTATACAGCCAGGAGCATAACTTTGAGTGAGAGCACTTTGTCAACAGGGTCTGCTGCCAGCACAGAAGGGAACTTGCGCCCAGTGCAAACACATGGACATATCAGAAAAACAAAGAAGCTAGACTCTTACCATGGCTTCTGATGTGGACAGCTGGTTCTGCAGCCCAGTTCTGGGAAGATGCTTCCTCTGACTCAACAAGTGCAGCTTCAACTTGCCAAAAAGGATCTTTAACAAAAGCAATCCATGTGTGTGAAAAAGATCCAGATTTTTTTTAAAAAAATGAATGTAACCATCACAGCTATAGCCACTACTCTGAAGATACACACCTGAATAGATAGTATAACAGGTTTAGCACCTCATTTACAAAGACTTTGAATTAATGATCTCATAGCGTTCATCACTTGTGAGTACATGAATACCTTATATCATTTTGACAGTATTATACATTCAGAATAGACTATCTTTTAAATTCTTGAGTAAGACACTTAGTTTTTGAAAGGACAAAACATTACCAAGCAGGTATATAGTCTATGGCTGTAATCTTAGTCCTTTGGAAGGTGAGACAGGAGGACTGTCATGAGTTAGAATGAGCAGACAGCCATGCACTACATAGGGAGTTCTATGCAAGTCTGGGCTACAGAATGAGAAACTGTCTCAAAAAAAAAAAAATGAAATTGAGCCTTACCTCACGAAGTTGATTATTACTCATTATAAGAAACTGTTCTCCTGCAACAAAATGGGCTTCTTGCTCCAATTCCTTGAGGCGAGCCTGAAAAATTGAAACATCATTCATAGACTTTATGATTTAAAATAATTTATTTTTCTCATCAGACAACTCTCAACCAAAGCCTTTAATTCAATAAAAAGTCATCTATAACTTACCAAAATGAACATTTAAAAGCATACATATTGACTTGTGGTGGAATTTTCAGGTCCATAAATTATTTTTCCCTAAACCTAGATAAAACTTGAAGCAGCACAAAACAAAAGTACACCAAAGTGAGAGCAGCAACATTAGAACTAGGAAAAGGATCCATTAGTATGAGAAATGAGACAGAAAAATAAAAGGTATGGGTTACAGGCTTAACCCCACAATAGATCAAGATGTCCTCTAAGTCAGTAAGAGGAAATATAAAAGACCTAGATGAAGGGCTAGCTGTGGTAAAAGGCACAAGCCTGACAACCTGAATTGCATTCCTGGGACTCACATGGTGAAAGGAAAACTGAATCCCCCAAAGACCTCTACATACACACACACACACACACACACACACACACACACGCACAAATTTTAGAGACTCGAGCAGATTGTTTTCAAAGATTAATAGCCAATGATGATAGAAAACAATTTACTTCATCAGTAGTAAGGAAAACAGACCAAACTGATGCATGGTTTATGATAGTTTCAACCTGTAGACAACCAGATGGCTCTTGCCTGGGATAGACATCATCCATGGCAGAGCATAGTAGCACTGAGAAAAATACAGTGATAGCATCAAGGCTAAGATGCTGACAATTGAGAGGCTATATACAAACTATTGATTTACTCACAGTAAAACAATAAGACAAACCATATTGTTTAGATATTGAAATAGAGAACATATGAAGAATAACAAGGATGAAATGCCTTCTAAGACAGGATGGTAGCTACTTTGGGTAGCAGAATATACTTCTGCCAGGAAAAGCACATAAGGCTCCATGCTTTAATCTGGGTGATGGATACCAGAGTTATCTTTTGGGTAATTTAGATGGAATTTGAAAATATTTTTCATATATCTTTATGTACCATTCCATATTTTCGTTCTTTAGGAAATCTACCAATTCTTTGAATGAACTATAGGGAGCAAATGTCCTTACAAAAAATGTAACTTAGTCTAGGCCTTGATGGCCCAATGAAGAACTGCCCCCCAAAACATACTAGGTCAATGCCTGCCCTCTCCACGAGTGCATGTCAGTCACTATTATACTGCTGTAAAGAGCATGGCCAAGGCAACACTTATAAAAGGACGCGTTTAATTTGATTTTTCAAGACAGGATTTCTCTGTGTAGTCCTAACTGTCCTAGAACTCACTTTGTAAACCATGCTAGCCTCAAACTCAGAACTTTGCCTGCCTCTGCCTCCAGAATTCTGGAACTAAAGGTTGTGCCATCATTACCTGACTGAGAGTTCTACTCTTGATCCACAGGCCAAACAGAGAGAGGATTGGGGAGGGAAAGGGAGAAGGAGAGAGCAGAGGTTGCTGTGGGGCGGGGAGAGACTTAGACAGAGACAGAAACAGACAGACATTGGGCTTGGTGTGGGCTTTTGAAACCTCAAAGCCTATCCCTAGAGACACACTTCCTCCAACAAGGCCACATCTCCAAATTCTTCTAATCCTTTAAAATAGTGCTACTCTCTAGTAAGCATTTGACTATATAAGCCTACAGGGGCCATTCTTATTCAAACAATAATGTTCCAGTCCCTGGTCCCCATAGGCTTGTAGCCATAACATAATGCAAAAATGCATTCAGACTAATTTCAAAAGTCCCCATAGTCTATCATAGTCTCAACACTGCTTAACAATCCAAAAGTCAAAGTCTCTGAAATTCATGGCAACTTCTTAATTGTAACCCTCTATAAAATTAAAATAAAAAAGCAGATCACATACTTCAAACACTCAATGGCACAGAATACACATACCACTCCAAAAGGGAGGAAAAGAAGCAGAGGTGAGGAGACACTGAACCAGAGCAATACTGAAAACCAGCAGGGCAAACTGCAAACTCTGCAACTCCATGTCTGCCATCAAAGTGTTCTTTAGAGCTCCAACTCCTTTTAGCTTTGTTGACTGCAATACAGTTCTCTCTCTTGGACTGGTTCCACATCCAGTGATATCCCATGACTTGGACATCTCCAACATCTTGGTATCTCCAACACAATCCAGGGTTCACCTTCATAGCTTCAAGAAATGGCCTCTCTGGGCTTCCATGAATTGACACCCCTGACACATGGCTAGCCTCCCTCTGAGGCTTTCCTTAGCTGTGGAGAGAGATTCCACAATCCCTTCTGTATCCTTGAGTCTAAAGCCAGAAACACAGGACTATGGCCAAAACTGCCAAGTTCTGCTGCTTGCTGGGTCTGGAACTTGGCCTCCATGTTCAATTACATTTGTATTGTAGAGTGAAAAATTATAGATGCATATAGATGTATATAGAAAATTATAGATGTATATAGAATTCTTTTTAGACATATAAAATATTCTTTAGGCTTTCTTTATAAAGACATGGAGAAACTGAGCCATGAATCAAGTTAGGAATGTGGAAAGACCAGTCACCATTACTGGAACTGGCCTATCTGCAAAGAGAAAGGAAAGAATGCAAGTGAACTAGGTGGAACCAAGCTGGGAACCAAGCTGAGAATCATAGTGACAGGGCAAGGCCGAAGTAACAGGGCAGGACCACATTCTTGAGAACAGAGAGTTTTCACCTGATCCTGACTCACGTAGGTTGGGTTCCTTTAGAATGTTCCACTATTTTTATGTTATGCCACCTCAACAACCCCTCATTCCCCTCCCCATTCCTTGGTTTGTGGTTTTTTCCCCTTAAAAACCCTTCTCAAACTGGCTGTCGGGGTCAATTCAGCTCCTGCGTGGGCATACGAATTGACCGGCAGCTAGCTGTCACGCCCTAATAAACCTCGAAATTGCTCTGGTACACGGTGTCTCGAGCAGATTACTGGGTGGCCGCGACTTTCTGAGACTTGAGTGAGGGTCTCCCCTCTGCGGAGGTCTTCAGTATCAGCTTTCTATTGTTGATGGTTTTCTTTATGGCTTAAGCGTTTCTTTAATTCTTTTCTATAAATTGGAAGTTTAGCTGGGTGAGGTCTTGTCCTTGAGGTCACCACTCCCTTTATTTCATTTAGCATAATGCTTTTCTTTAAGCTTTTGTTTGTTGGTTTGATTGTTTGTTTGTTTGCTGAAGACAGGATTTCTCAGTCTTCTCTGGCTGTTCAGGAACTCGCTCTGTAGATCAAGCTAGTCTTGAACTCAGTGATCTGCCTGTTTCTGCCTCCCATGTGCTGGGATTAAAAGGTGTGCACCACCACTACCTGGCTTCTTTAAGCTTTTTTAACTCCTTGAGCACAGGACCTGGCTCCAACATCACCTTTCCTGGTGTTCTTTTTTCTCCTCAGATTGTCTATTTTATGTATCTCTTTGTCCAGTTCCTTTTCAGTACAGATCTACACAAGAGTGATTACTAACAACCACAGGATATAGTGTCAACACTAGCCTATCTTGAAATCTCTTCTGCTAATACCATTAATCCAAAAGTCTTCAATTTAGCCTCAGACAGATTTTTAGGACAGGGCAAAAAGCAGCCACATTCTTTGCCAAATTATCACAGGAATGACTTCTAGGCTACTTGCTAATATTCTTCTCTCTGAAGCCTCTTGAGCTCAGCCATTATAATTTACATTGCTCTTACCATCACTGTATCTCATGTTCCTACTAGAATGGCCCATTAAACTCTGCTTAAAGTATTCAATCTCTTTTCTCATCCAAAGTCTCAAAGTCTTCCATATTCCTCCAAACAAACAGCATGGTCAGGTCTGTCACAGAAATACCCCAGTCCCCGGTACCAACTTCTGTCTTAGTCACTGTTCAATTTCTGTGAAGAGACACTAACCAAGGCAACTCTTATTTAAAAAAAAAAAAAGCATTTACTTGGAGGTTTGCTTACAGTTTCAGAGGTTAGTCCATTATTATCACAGTGAGGAGCATGGAAACATGTAAGCAGACATGGTGCTGGAGAAGCAGCTGAGAGTTCTGTATTCTGATCCACAGGCCAAGAGAGAGACATTGGGATTAGCATGGGCTCTGAAACTTCAAAGTCTATCCTCAGTGACACACTTCCCCCAAAAAGGCCACACCTCTAATCCTCCTAATTCTTTCAAATAGTGCTACTTCCTGGTAACTAAGCACTGGAATATGCAAGCCTATTGGGGCTATTTTTATTCAAACCATTCAGTTCAGTAGATGTCAGTCGGATATAAACACTTCAATTTATTGACTTCCCCAGACCAATAGTGAAGGGTAGAAAATCAGAATCTACTGAGATCCGAATTTACTGACAAGTATAGACTCTGAAATGATAGCTTACCCCAAGGAGTGCTGATGTCCTCTCCATCTCTTCTTTGTCAACTGGAATCTTATGATTTTCCATCACTATGAGTCAGAGTCAAAAGCAGATCATATTATCATTGCATTAACCAACCCTTTTCAGAAGACTAACGAGCCTCACTTTTTGATGACCTAATGGTAACCATGCTCATTTACTCAGGTCCCACTGTAAGTCAACCTCTGTTCTGGGAGGAAACAGGAGCATCAAAAGAATTGGACTGCTGGAGATACAGTCTAGTAACAGAACACTTGCCCAATACAAGCCAGGTCCTGAGCTCAGTTCCCAGGTATGAATGATGTGGGACTATGCTGGTCCCAGTTCTGCTCTTTGCATACTTTGGAGAGAGTCACTCCTGGCCCTGCAACAGGACCTGGTCAGAGGCAGATGGGCAAAAGTCTTAGAGATGCTTAAAGGGAGGGTTTTAAGTACTACTGGAGAAAAGCACAGAACTGTAAGTTAAGATAACATAGGTAGGTAATGTCAATAAGACCTCCTTCTAGCTAGACAGAACAGGGAGGATCTTCATGGCTGAATGCCAGGTCTTCAAGTCCTTCAATACCAGGAAATGATGCAGCTCAAACCCTCTTGTTGCAGAAGAGAAAACCATGAGCTAGCAACCTCTTTGGATGAACTATAGTACCCATTCTATTATAGGGTAGAGAGAAAATTCATTCTTGAACAATTTAAAGATTCTCAAAAAGGATGACTATACTTTGCTTTTATGGTAACTCACCTGCCAAAATTGGTATCAATGGAAGCTCCAAAGTACAATATAGTTGCCATAAGCCATAAGCCTGTTTTATAGGAGTAGATAATATAAATATGGATTTAAATTATTGTCTGCATTTTGTTGAAAAGCAAGTTGACTTTGTTGTGCTGTGATTAAAGCTACCTCTGTCTGAAGTGGTTTCTCTTCCTATCTTCATTCTTTTTGATAAAACTCTTATTTCCATCACAGAAACTATTTCCTTACTATCTGATTATCTGGTAGACATAATATTCCAAAATTTCACAGGGCCTTTGCTTTCTTACTTTCAGGAGTGTTTGTGTGATTTGAGTATTCCATTTTAACTACGGAATGGCTCACTGAATTCCAATCATTTTACCTAGTCTTCAATAATCTTGCATTACTGGCCATTCAGACTAGTCAGGAGTGTTAGAATCTTTTATGTTAGGCCATCTGTTTTAAGAACATGAAACCCTTGCTCTTTTTACTCATATCACCTTCCATGTTGTTTGTTTATTTATAGGCCCCTAATTATACACATGATGTCACGTAGTCCAGTCTGGCCTCAAACTCTCCATAGATGAGCCTGCCTTTGAACTTCTTCTTCAACTTCTCACTTTCTAAGTGTTGGGATTATAGGCATGTCCATCACACCAGATTTCTTATGATGTTTCCTGTAGTATTTTCTGCTGTTGCCTAAGAGTGCTGGGCCTCATCTTCTAGATCCCCTCAATTTCTCTGTCTGTCCCTGCACTCTAGGGTAGACTGATCCTCTCTAGGACATGTTAAATGAGCTCTTCCTCAACCCTTAAGACAGTTTTCTTGTTGGTGGGCAGTTCCCAAGGGCAGGAAAGAAGAGAAGCAACTTGACTTAGAGCTAAGAATAGAAAAGCCTCCAGCTACACTCTGTCCTAGGAAGCTTCTCATCTTTCCAGTCTCCTTCATCTTTGCCTCGGGACATAGTCTTTCCTTCAGTTTTCCTCAGTTGTCTCTCTACTGGTTACAGCCTCCCAATAAGAATCTAACTGAAGCAAGTTGGGTCCATTCTATTACTAACTAAAATAAACTCTTGGCATCAGAAACACTCTAGTTAAATGTGTGGCTTTGAAACAATTGTTTTCAATATACAGAACGTATTTTAAAACTGCAGGAATTATCATTTTAGTTTTTTCTTTTCTAAATGAGGCACAGGCTAACTTGACTTTAGGACAAACATATCATTTCATGTTCAAAACACTAAGTGTGAGTGTGGGTAACAAGTAAAAACACAGGTCTTACACAGCTAGAAATTACAGTATTAAAAAATGACTTGCCTTCAACTTAGAACAAAGATCCATTGTAAGGTCGTAGAGTATCTTCAGTTTCACATATATATTCTGACTCTATAAAAATGAATACATTAAAATTAGATGAGCTTAGCAGAAATTCTCATCACAGTCTGGAAACTGATATCACTTACAAAAGTGTTTGTAGTGACATGGGAAGATGCTCCTGATGGCTTTTGTCCCAGTCACCATAGGCACGGCCCCTACAGAAAAGTACCTCCATTGTGCAAGTCAGGCTGTCCACAGGGAGACACTTCCCCAGCCCAGTATTTTTGTCATTATACAGATAGAGAATAGAGCTCCTAATGCCTGTTGTGATGAATAAATAATTGGAAAAGCCAGAAACAGAGATTTTCAGATCCCATAGCATCTCATTTCTTTTCTACCACATAGCAACCACTTGATGGGTGTTACATTCACACTAACTTATCCATTAACAACCTAGGACAGGTAAATATAAAACCCCTAAGAAGCCACAAACAAAGACTATGTTCAAAGAACAGAGAGAAGCCGGGCGGTGGTGGCGCACGCTTCTAATCCCAGGACTTGGGAGGCAGAGGCAGGTGGATTTCTGAGTTTGAGGCCAGCCTGGTCTACAGAGTGAGTTCCAGGACAGACAGGACTATACAGAGAAACCCTGTCTCGAAACCCCCCCCCCAAAAAAAACAAAAAAAACAGAAAACAAAAACAAAGAACAGAGAGGGCAGATGGAACAAGAGGCAGCCCCTTCAACACATAATCTGAGCTCTTCCTAACAGGGATCTTCACAACAGTCTATTCAGCATTCCACTCTGCCAAACAGAAACTCCTAATGAATGTAAAAAGTATGTGGCTGCTAGCTGGACTTATGCTAGCATGGTTCTTCAGTCTCTACGAACTTGGCTCTCTCTTGAAAAACTCAGTAGATATGAAGCAGAGGACCACATCTCTGCTGCCACCTAGAACAATCACACATGGCTTCCTGCAGCTCTTTCAACTTCAAAGTAATCACAGGTTTCCACTTTGAATCAGACCAAGACAGGCCAGTTACTTAGGATGGTACAGCCCCTTGAGAGCCCTGCATGTGTCTAGATCCTAGAGTACCCTTTCTCCTTACCAAACTGCCCTTGTTGCCCCCACTAAGTAGCTAATTTTCTAGGAGGCCTTGCCATTCATTTCATTCCTTCTATCTGAGTTCCCTTTCATTTTGAGGAACTCAAATTACCTCTTCAGAGAGGCATATAAGCAGATCCCATAAACTAAACGCCCAATGTCCATCTCTCACTCTCATGTACTGCAAGGCTCTCCCATGGCCCCATCTAGCCAACAACCATGATAAAAACTGCACTTAAAGCTTTCTCTTATCTTCATGAGGCAAGGACAAGGGGCCTCAGGAATAGAGAGTGGAAGCTCTAGATTGGGCTTAACAGCATCACTAAGCATCTGTGCCAGCATGCATCAGAAGAACATACTCTCTAGAGCTGATTTTCATTCCATGCAGCCATCTTATCCCTCAATATGTGGGAATAATAATGACAATAATAAAATAGGCTTACAGTCATGAATCCAAACTGACCCATCAAATACATCTCGGGTAAGATGAGGAGCAGTACTCCTGTCCTGTGGATTAGGAGATTAGGAGACTGAATTCTGAGTCATCCTAGAAGAGCCACTGCACTCAGAGCAGCTGGTAAGAACTCCATCTCACTCCCTAAGCCCCAGAGATACATCTGAGAGCCAGGGACATTCAGGACACAGCAGCTACCCAAACCCCGCCCCTCCAGAATTCCACTTCCCTTCTGCCCCTGCCTGGTCCTTTGGACTGGGGCAGACACAGAGTCGGTCTGCTCCTGTCCTGTGGAGATACTGAATCCTGAGTCATCAAGGAGCCACTGCACTCAGAGCAGCTGAAGAGACACTGCACTCAGAGCAGAAGGATTTCCAGATCCAAGAGGTGGCCTGAGTCCCAGGAGTTCTTCCACCCAGCAGATTAGGAGCATAAGACCACAGAGACCTCTGGACTCTGAGGAGCTCTGCAACAAGCAAGATAACTGGAAATACAGACTCCAGTCTTACACAGTGAGGGAAGGTAACACTAGAGTTAACCAGATGGCGAAAGGCAAGCGCAAGAACATAAGCAACAGAAACCAAAGTTTCTTGGCATCATCAGTACCCAGTTCTCCCAATATAGCAAGCCCTGAACACCCCATCACACCTGAAAAGCAGGATTCAGAATTAAAATCACTTCTCATGATGATGATAGAGGATTATAAGAAGGAATTAAGTAGCTCCCTTAAAGAAATACAGGAGAGTACAAGTAAACAGATAGAAGCCCTTAAAGAGGAATCACAGAAATCCCTTAAAGAAATGCAAGAAAACACAAAGAAGGAATTAAACAAAAACATTCAGGATCTGAAACTGGAAATAGAAACAATAAGGAAAGTTCAAAGGGAGACAACCATGGAGATAGAAAACCTAAGAAAGACATAAGGAGTCATAGACGCAAGCATCACCAACCGAATACAAGAGATAGAAGAGAGAATCTCAAATGCAGAAGATACGGTGGAAAATATTGACACAGTTGTCAAAGAAAATGCAAAATGCAAAAAACTCCTAACTCAAAACATCCAGGAAATCCCGGACACAATGAGAAGACCAAACCTAAGGATAATAGGTATAGATGAGAGTGAAGATTCCCAACTTAAAGGGCCAGTAAATATCTTCAACAAAATTATTGAGGAAAACTTCCCTAACCTAAAGAACAGGATGCCCATAAACATACAAGAAGCCTACAGAACACCAAATAGACTAGACCAGAAAAGAAATACCTCTTGTGACATAATAATCAAAACATCAGATGCACACAAAACAAAGAAAAAAATACTAAAAGCAGTAAGGGAAAAAGGTCAAGTAACATACAAAGGCAGACCTATAAGAATTACACCAGACTTCTCACCAGAGACTATAAAAGCCAGAAGAGCACGGACTGACATCATACAGACCCTAAGAGAACACAATTGCCAGCCCAGATTACCATACCCAGCAAGACTCTCAATCACTATAGATGGTGAAACCAAGATATTCCATGACAAAACCAAATTTGCACAGTATCTTCTCACAAACCCAGCACTTCAAAGGATAATTGATGGAAAACGCCAACACAAGGAGGGAAACTACAAGCTAGAAAAAGCAAGGAAGTAATCTTCCAACAACCCCAAAAGAAGATAACTATACAAACATAATTCTACCTCTAATAACAAAAATAACAGGAAGCCACAATCATTTTTCCTTAATATCCCTTAACATCAATGGTCTCAATTCCCCAATAAAAAGACACAGACTATCAGACTGGATACACAAACAAGACCCAGAATTTTGCTGCATACAGGAAACACACCTCAGTGACAAAGACAGACACTACCTCAGAATAAAAGGGTGGAAAACAATTTTCCAAGCCAATGGTCCCAAGAAACAAGCTGGAGTAGCCATTCTAATATCAAATATAATCGACTCTCATCCAAAATTAATCAAAAAAAGATAAGGAAGGACACTTCATACTCATCAAAGGAAAAATCTACCAATGTGAACTCTCAATTCTGAACATCTATGCTCCAAATGCAAGGGCACCTACGTACATAAAAGAAACTTTACTAAAGCTCAAAACACACATTACACCTCACACAATAATAGTGGGGATTTCAACACCCCACTCTCAGCAATGGACAGATCATGGAAACAGAAACTAAACCGAGACACTTTGACATTAACAGAAGTTATGAACCAAATGGACTTAACAAACATCTATAGAACATTTCATCCTAAAACAAAAGAATATACCTTTTTCTCAGCACCTCATGGTACCTTCTCCAAAATAGACCATATAATTGGTCACAAAACAACCCTCTACAGATACAGATCAGATACTTATCAGATCACCACGGACTAAGACTGGTCTTTAATAATGACAAAACCAATGGAAAACCCATGTGCACATGGAAACTGAACAACTCTCTACTCAATGATGACTTGGTCAAGGAAGAAATAAAGAAAGAAATAAAAGACTTTTTAGAATTCAATGAAAATGAGGACACATCATACCAAAACTTGTGGGACTCCATGAAGGCAGTGCTAAGAGGAAAACTCATAGCTCTAAGTGCCTACAAAAAGAAACTGGAGAGAGCACACACTAACAACTTGACTGCACAACTAAAAGCTCTAGAACAAAAAGAAGCAAATACACCCAGGAGGAGTAGAAGGCAGGAAATAATCAAACTCAGGACTGAAATCAACCAAATAGAAACAGAAAGAACAATACAAGATATCAATAAAACCAGGAGCTGGTTCTTTGAGAAATTCAACAAGATAGATAAACCGTTAGCCAGATTAACCAGAGGGCACAGAAACAGTATCCAAATTAATAAAATCAGAACTGAAAAGGGAGAGATAACAACAGAAACTGAAGACATTCAAAAAATCATCAGATCCTACTACAAAGGCCTATACTCAACAAAACTGGAAAACCTGGATGGAATAGACAATTTCCTAGACAGATACCAGGTACCAAAGTTAAACCAGGAGCAGATAAACCATCTAAATAGTCCCATAACCCCTCAGGAAATAGCAGCAGTCATTAAAAGTCTCCCCACTAAAAAAAGCCCAGGACCAGATGGTTTTAGTGCTGAATTCTATCAGACCTTCAAGGAAGACCTAATACCAATTCTCTTCAAAATATTCCACAAAATAGAAACAGAAGGAACACTACCCAATTCGTTCTATGAAGCTACAATTACACTCATACCCAAAACCCACAAGGACCCAAAATATACTCAATAAAAATGCAAAAATACTCAATAAAATTCTAGCAAACCGAATCCAAGAACACATCAAAACAATCATCCATCATGATCAAGTAGGTTTTATCCCAGGAATGCAGGGATGGTTCAATATTCGGAAATCCATCAATGTAATCCACTATATAAACAAACTTAAAGAAAAAAACCACATGATCATCTCACTAGATGCTGAGAAAGCATTTGACAAAATTCAACATCCCTTCATGATAAAAGTCTTGGAAAGATCAGGAATTCAAGGCCCATACCTAAACATAGTAAAAGCAATTTACAGCAAACCAGTGGCCAACATCAAGCTAAATGGAGAGAAACTTGAAGCAATCCCACTAAGATCAGGGACTAGACAAGGCTGCCCACTCTCCCCCTACCTATTCAATATAGTACTGGAAGTCCTAGCCAGAGCAATTAGACAACAAAAAGAAGTCAAAGGGATACAAATAGGAAAGGAAGAAGTCAAAATATCGATATTTGCAGATGATATGATAGTATACTTAAGTGACCCCCAAACTTCCACCAGAGAACTCCTAAACCTGATAAACAACTTCAGCAAAGTGGCTGGTTATAAAATCAACTCAAACAAATCAGTAGCCTTCCTCTACATGAAAGATAAACAGACTGAAAAAGAAATTAGGGAAATGACACCCTTCACAATAGTTGCAAATAATATAAAATACCTTGGTGTGAATCTAACCAAGCAAGTGAAAGACCTGTATGACAAGAACTTCAAGTCTCTGAAGAAAGAAATCGAAGATCTCAGAAGATGGAAAGGAAAGATCTCCCATGCTCATGGGTTGACAGGATTAATATAATAAAAATGGCCATCTTACCAAAAGCAATCTACAGATTCAATGCAATCCCCATTAAAATCCCAACTCAATTCTTCACAGAGTTAGAAAAGGAAATTCTCAAATTCATATGGAGTAACAAAAAACCCAGGATAGCGAAACTATTCTCAACAATAAAAGAACTTCGGGAGGAATCACCATCCCTGACCTCAAGCTGTACTACAGAGCAATAGTGATAAAAACTACCTGGTATTGGTACAGAGACAGGCAGGAAGATCAATGGAATAGAATTGAAGACCCAGAAATGAACCCACACTCCTTGGACACTTGATCTTTGACAAAGGAGCTAAAACTGTCCAGTGGAAAAAGGACAGCATTTTCAACAGATGGTGCTGGTTCAATTGGAGGACAACATGTAGAAGAATGAAAATTGATCCATTCTTATCCCCTTGTACAAAGCTCAAGTCTAAGTGGATAAAGGACCTCCACATAAAACCAGATACACTGAAACTAATAGAAGAGAAGGTGGGGAAGAGCCTTGAATACTTGGGCACAGGGGAAAAGTTCCTGAACAGAACTCCAATGGCATATGCTCTAAGATCAAGAATTGACAAATGGGACTACATAAAATTGCAAAGTTTCTGTAAGGCAGAGGACACTGTCAATAGGACAAAACGACAACCAACAAATTGGGAAATGATCTTCACCAATCCTTCATCTGATAGAGGGCTAATATCCAATATATACAAAGAACTCAAGAAATTAGACTCCAGACAACCAAATTACCCTATTAAAAAATGGGGTATAGAGCTTAACAAAGAATTTTCAATGGAAGAAATTCAAATGGCCGAGAAGCACCTAAAGAAATGTTCAGCATTTTTAGTCGTCAGGGAAATGCAAATCAAAACAACCCTGAGATTTCATCTCACACCAGTCAGAATGGCTAAGATTAAAAACTCAGGTGATAGTAGATGCTGGCGAGGGTGTGGAGAAAGAGGAACACTCCTCCATTATTGGTGGGACTGCAAGATGGTGCAACCACTTTGGAAATCAGTCTGGTGGTTCCTCAGAAAATTGGACATAGCATTACTTGAGGATCCAGCTATACCACTCCTAGGCATATACCCAGAAGATGCTCGAACATATAACAAGGACATATGCTCAACTATGTTCATAGCAGCCTTATTTATAATAGCCAGGAGCTGGAAAGAACCCAGATGTCCTTCAACTGAGGAATGGATTCAAAAAATGTGGTATATTTACACAATGGAGTATTACTCAGCTATTAAAAACAATGAATTTGAGAGGTTCCTAGGTAAATGGATGGAACTAGAAATTATCATCCTGAGTGAGGTAAGCCAATCACAAAAGAACACACATGGTATTCACTCACTGATTATTGGATATTAGCCCAGAACCTTGAAATGCCCAAGATGCAACTCACAGGCCACATGAAGCTCATAAAGAAGGAAGACCAAGTGGGGGTGATTCGGTCCTTCTTAGAAGGAGCAACAAAATACTCAAGGGAGCAAATATGGAGACAAAGTGAGGGACAGAAACTGAAGGAGGGGCCGTCTGAAGACTACTCCACCTGAGTATCTATCCCATGTGCAATCACCAAAGGTAGATGCTGATGTGGAAGTCAGGAAGTGCATGCTGATAAGAGCCTGATATGGATGTCTCCTCAGAGGCCTTCAAGAGTCTGACATATTCAGAGGCAGATGCTCACAACTAGCCATTGAACTGATCATGGGGTTCTCAATGGAGGAGTCAGAGTGAAGACTGAAGGAGCTGAAAGCATTTGCGGCCCCATGAGGAGAGCAACAATACCAACCAACCACAGCTCCCAGGGTCTAAACCACCAGCCTGGGAGCACTTAGGGAGGGATCCAGGGCTTTAGCTGAATATGTAAGAGTGGAGGGCCCTGCTGGGCATAGGTGGAAGAAGAGAACCTTGACCTCATGAAGGCTGGACTCCCCAGGGGGTGGGAATTTTGAGGCTGGGGAGGTGGGAGTGGGGGGGGTAGATAGAGGTTACATCCACAGAGAAGAAGGAGCAGGGGTGAAGGGATTGGGGGTTCCCGGGTGGGTGGGGGATGGGGTAAGGGGACAATATATGAAATGTAAATAAAACATCCAATAAAAAAATAAAAAAAAAAAGATGAGGAGCAGTAGCATGTGCACATCTAGTGTCCCCATATGTGAACTGGGACTGATAATACCTAGGTGGACAATTTCTTGCAGTCATATTTCAGCTTGTTTGAGGAATCTTTGCCATACTGAGTAGGATTTATAATCACCTGTGAGGGAAGAGGGATGCTTTCCAAGTGCTAAAATAGAATCTTGGTTCCTACATGGCCACTGCCCAGGCTACCAGGACCAGATTCCCATTCTTGTAAGAACTTCTCTGATTCTGCAATCTATTTCACGGCCTTCTGATATACCTCTTCTTAAATTCAAGAATATAGTGTTCCTAGTATTTACAGTCTATCCATCTATGGGACACAGATCCTCTCTCTACACGTGGTAGTTATGAGGATGAAGGGCAAGGTATGCAAGCTCTCACATCCGCTGCTGTACCATCTGAATGTTCATCTGTAGTGTCCCACCATGTGGCTGAGTAGGGGGGTCATGGCTGTGACTGCACTGCTCCCTAACATATCTCTTCAGGAGTGGTAGCATTTGAACACCAGGGCTATCCACAGCACGAGAGGCCTTGGGGAAACTCACCTTGTCTTCTCTACCGAGATGGAGTTGGCTGTCCCCAAAAGACAGCAAACAAGAGCATGTCACTAGTGCTAAAGATTTACAAAAGGACAGTCCTCTGCTCGCAGTGGAGGTACTACTGACACTAGAGAATCCATAGAAGAACTACACTGTAATGAGACATGCCTGGAAATCTCTCATCTTTATTCATTGGCCTCTACCAGAAACACCTCAGCAAAAAAAAGAATTTGGAAGAACAAATGACACGAAAATGGATGCTGGCTATATTCTTGTTACTACTAGATTATTTATAAAGTAGGAAAAGTCAGGGTTGTATTAAGGTAGACAGAACCTCATCTTAAAACATCTTACCACAATACTTCTTGAGGTATCACCGAATGTACTGCTTGGTTTGACTATGGTGGAGTTTTCTAGGTGTTTGGCTACTAAATCTTCAAATGAAGGTGCAGCGTCACTGGGATCTATGAGCCATGCAGCAACTCTGGGATCTAGTCCTACAAAACCAGCAGCTGCAGAGGAAAAGGTCACTTAGCATTCATCCGAGTCACAAGCAACTGTTGTTTCTCATCTTTATAAAGTAGAGTTTTCCAAATATGAAACACAAGTGGCTGAGAAACATTTAAAGAAATGTGCAACATTCTTAGCCATTAGGGAAATGTAAATGAACTACTCTGAGATTCTATCTTACCCCAGTTAGAATGTCCAACATCAATAAAACAATTGACAATGCTGACAAGAATTCTGACAAACAAGAACATTTATTCATTTCTGTGGGAGTAAAATTCAGCCAGTGTGAAAATAAGTGTGGAGGTTCCTCAGGAAGCTGGGAATATATCTACCTCAAGATTCAAATATACCACTCTTGGGCATATGCCCAAAGGACTCTACATCTGACTATAGAGACACTAGCTCAATTATGTTCACTGCTGCACTATTCATAATTGCCAGAAACTGGAAACAGCCAAGATGTCCATCAACTGATAAACAGATAATGAAAATATGGTACATTTATACAATTGAATATCACTCAGTTGTTTTTTAAAAAACAGTGAAAAGTTGAAATCTGCAGGTAAATAGATGGAGCTTGAGAAAATAAAATCCTAAGTGATTAAGCCAGACTCAAAATAGACAAATACTACATGTTTCCTCTTACATGTGGATGTTAAGCTTTTAAGCTTTTGACATGTGTACTAAAATTCAAATAACCACAGACATTAGGTACCTAGTAAGGGGCCTGTGGGATGGAGAGGATCTTCCAAGAAAGGAGAAATAGAATGTAGTATTGTGGGGAGAAGAAGGGGAACTAAACTAAAAGGATTTGATGGAACAGAGGATGGAAGATCTAAGTAAAGTAGGGAGTATGAAGGAACACTTAACACTAAAGGCATTTGAAAAGTCATATGGAAACCCACTATTGTAGAAGCTTCCTAATATAAACATATATGGAATGAATCTAAACGCAATCACCATATAATGGAGAGACAATGTCCCAACTATACATCTTATGCCACCAAGTAAAATTTCCAGTGCCAGCAAAGAGTTATATATTTTTGAGTTGTTGGCCAAAGGGGTCCCATAGAATCCCCCCAAACATCAGAGACTATTATCAAGGCCATGGTTGTTTTCCATAGTGAGGTAGTAAAGCCCTATTGTTGTAAACAACATATATTTATGTTACTGAACATGGAGAAGTCCGTCTGGTGCCAAACTAGAAGCTTAACCTCTACTGTGTTCATAGTACTGGAAGGTATTCTGCACTCTACCAAGTATTAAAGACAATCACTAATATCGCTCAGCTATAAACTCTGTTACCTACAACAGTAACCTGCCTACAAGATATTCTGACACAATAGTGGCACAAAAGTTATGAAAGTCCTTTTAGATTGGATTTAAGACCCACTCCATGAGATGGAACCCATACCTGGCAATGCTAACATGCCAGTAACCTGAAACTAGATAGGCTATGGGTCCTGTGGAAAACCTATTATTCTATTAAAAGAACATGGCAATAAAATGATTCCTAATAACATACTGATATACCCATAGATCAGAGCCTCATTCAACCCAAATCAGAGAAGCTTCTAGATGCAATAGACAGGATTAGTAGAGAGACCCACAACTAGACAATATGCAGAGAGTGAGAGACTTTGGAGTACTCAATTCTAAATGGGCCATCTTCATCAAAAACCGTTCCCTCAAAGCTCAGGGATCCTTGAGTTAGAGAAAGGAAAAATATTTTGAGAATCAGAAATGAGGAATGATTCCAAGGAAACAGTGTATTACAGATACAATGGACTGATACACACATGAACTCAGAGACTGTGGCATTATGCACAGGGCCTGTGTAAGTTTAAGCCAGACAGTGTCCCACCACTGAGAAGGGAAAGTAGAAAAGAGTTCCATCCTTAATCAAGAAACTATCTGTTATTGGTATCTGTTGGCAAAGTTTTCTACAATGCACTGTCACTGGTTATATCAACCACACTCTAGGGCAAGCTTCAGAGGCAGGAGTACTTTTGTTTTGTTCTGTTTTTTTTTTTTTGTGGACTTTTTGCTTCATTTTGTTTTAGAATTTTTTATCTTACAGGTTTTTTTGTTTATTTGTTTTGATTTTCATTTTGTGTTTTTGTGGAAGTATTTTTTAGAAGAGAGAGAAAGAACATAGAGTTGGGTGAGTAAGGAGGTGGGGGAAGATTGGGAGGAGTTGGGGAGGGGAAATATATTCAAAATATACTACATAAAAAATTAAATAAGAAACAAAACAAAAATGATTAATTTTCCAATGAATAATATTTTGCTATCCTCTCAAATTACAGAATTAAATACTCTATAATTTTTTTTAGGTATTTATCTGTATGTGGGGTGTGTCTGTGTCTGTGTCTGTGTCTCTGTGTGTGTGTGTGTGTGTGTGTGTGTGTGTGTGTGTGTGTGTGGTGTATGTATGTAGGTGCATACATGTAGAAGCCTGAGGCTGATGTCATAAGTCTTCCTCAGGTATTCCTCATCTTATTTACTGAAGCATGGTCTCTCAGTTGAACTTATAGCTCCTCAGTATTGCTCTCTAGCTGGCCAGTTTGTTCTGGAGGTCCTGTCTCCACCTTCTGAGTGTACTAGAAAGGCAGGCATACCATTATACCTACTCAACATTTACATGAATACTAGGGATCAGAACTCGCATCCTCACATTCTCACAGTAAGCTCTTTACCTGCTAAGCCATATCTCCATCCCTCTTCAATAATGTCTACCTTTTGGGAAGGTGGCTGGATACACCCAGGTCCTACATGGCTGGTTGGTATGAGCATCACATTAAAGAAATAGAACCTAAACAGCTAAGAAGGGATAGCGAGTTCAAGTTCACTTGGAATATGGATCTCTCAATAATATAATAGACTGAAATCAGAAACCAAGGTCCATGTTCCTGGTTTTTTTGTCCCTTAACTGTTCTCTTGACACTTGGGTTTTTTAAGCCATTATAGTAGATCTTCTCTCCTACATTCTCCTCTGACTTCTGTCTTCCCAGGCCATTCATAATGTGTCATCATGATCCTAGAATCATGACTCCTGAGTCAAGGAATAACTGTAGGAGCTACCTGAACTCACACAGTATCCTTGTCACTGTGTCAGAGTAAGCAGGCAGTATAGGCCAGGCAGAATAGCATTCCCTGACAGAAGATAGTCCAATGAGACAACTAAAAACAAAAAGGAGCTGACCTTTAAATAAAACTATAATCTTGGATCGCATCACACTAAATGCCAGATTATCTGCCATCCTTAAGTTATTATACTAGCCAAAGAGATTTATATTTCCCATAGCAGCCAATGTCAAGAGTTTTCCATATTACATTCAAGACAGCCAGTGTAGGCAGATTTGGAACTTTAGATGGATGAAATAGTCCTTTTGGCTGCTTGTGCCCCAGGACAGCAATGTTTGACTTCGTATGACACTGGTAACACTGACTGACCTCTGACATTGCAAAGGTAAGAGTTCTACAGAAAGATATTTTGAAAAGACCTTGGAAATTGGACAGCACCAGAATGTTCTGGGTGCTGATCCCTGTAAATGTTTGAAAACTGACAAACAGAAGCCTGCCAGGACAAATCCCTACTTTTAGTTTTTTGAGGTCTGTCCATGGAGTTCTCCATAGTGGTCATACAGATTTTCCTTCTGTGCTCACCACCATTTATTTAAACATAAATAAGTATGTTTTATTCTGATGCACATATCTTTGATGGTTTATAAAGTTGACTTTTCTTGACTTGAGGGACTTTGAGCTGCTAAATATTCACCCTGAGCATTTCCTCCCCTGTACTTAGCCATTTCCGAAGGAACCTCTTACAACGCTAATTTACATACATAAGTATATATTATTTAAATATCACCAATACTTAATATAAATAAGCAGTAAAACTAACCAACATGCTCATCATAACCATAGTTTGAAAGTATTTTATATCAAGTTTTGCTGACTGTGGAGCAATTCACTATTTTGAAGTAAAGAAAAAAAAACTAAATTTCCATACAGGAGTTTCCATCTCAAGTCTACTGAGACAAATGATGAAAGAATTCTCTCTATAGAACTAGTCTAGTTCTATAAGTGAAGAAAAGGAACTGGGATGACAGCTCAGTGGTCAAAGTGCTCACCTTACAAGCCTGAGGACCACAGTCAAATTCTCAGGCCTAGGTAAATGTCAGATAGGTGTGGTAGCATGCCTGTAATTCTAGTTTCAGGAGGCAGAGAGCAAGCTGGTTAGTTACATTTGCCAACTCTGAGTTTGATGGAGACCATAACTCAATGAATAAGGTAGAAGACAATTAAAGATCATTCCTAGCATCAACTTCATGCTTCCACATGTATGCATATACACAAAGGTATAGATACACCCTACACACATGTTCTTCTGAACATATAAACATACACACGTGAAAATGAAAAAAGAAAAAAAAAGTAAAGAAAGTAGAATAGATTTTGGATCTTACCAGATTGCAATTAAGGAACTCAGACAGTGACAGGCAATAGATTCTAATATCACAAAAACAAACAAAAAAAAATAAGAGCATCATGGGGCAAGTGTGGGAGCTGGAATACTGTTAGGACAGCTAGTAATGCAAAGAGATTACTGCTCACTCTGGGGGAGGTGATGGCATCGCCTTGTACGTGGGAGCCTCAAACAATAGAAATATCAGAGCTTAATCTTATAGTGTTTAAGATTTTGTTACAAAATAATAAGGAGTCTGTGGTTTGAAAAATGGAGAGATACAAAAGAAAAAAATCAACTGTAAGTCCAATCTTGGTCAACCTTTGATAAGTAATTTTGTGTATGTTAGAAATTAATTATAATAAAAATTCTCAATATTTTATTATGAATATTTTGAAATGCAGATAATGAGAAAAATGTACAATTAAAACTCAAGGATTCATCAGTGAATACTTTTACTCTGTTTGGTTTTATTCCCCTCACACACACTCATTTTCTCTCAAGTTTTTAAAGATAGGGTTTCTTGATGAAGTCCTGACTGTCCTAGAACTCACTCTGTAGACCAAGCTGGCCTCAAACTTAGAGACCCTCTGGCCTCTGCTTACTGAGTACTGGGATTAAAGGCATACACCAGCTATTCCCTACTCTTTTAAAGATACTACATAGTCTGTAGTAATGCTTTGTTTGGTGCTCCCAGTGTTGAAGTTCTTAGTGTCTGTAGCCATTGATGGTAACAACAAAGCCCATTGTGACTGTGTTTCAGGGGTCATTCTTTACACTAAAGGAGTATAACTGGTATAAATATAAGGATAACCCAGATACATCAGGGGAATTGTCTTCTTCTGCTCATGGCAGGTGAAGAAGCAGTGACTGTGTGGCCAGGAGCCTGTGGAGCAGGTGACATGGTGGCCTGACCAATTTTCTAAGTCTTAGGGACAATGAGAATGGTGACTTACCATGCTTCCAACTGCCATCCTTACCATAGAGCTGCAGTACTGTTCTCACAAAGTCCTTGGCATTAAAACAAACAACGGGGCATTTACACCTAAGTGTCCAAAACAGTATGTTCCTAGACAAGGGAAAATTCACCATTTAGATAATAATTTGGGTCTTGGAAAAATATTTTAATATCAAATAGCTAGCTATCCTTATACAGCATATACATACCTTAATTAACCAAAGAATCCTATGAGGTGGGCATTACTTCTTATGTACAGTTCATACACTGTGAAGCTTTGACTCAGGGCTTATCTCTGAGAAAAGCTTCTACTCCTGAAGCTCCTGTGCAGAATACACACAGTGGACCTAGTCCAAGCCCCTCCAAGCATTCCACCCCTCAGCATGCCATGACTTTCCTTCTGCCATTTCACTATGCCACTTCTACCCATACTGCTGGGGATGGCATATGCTCTTACATGACTACTCTTCTCCACCTACAACTTGTGCGACCTGCTCAAGAGATGTTCTGAGCAAGCAGCCTATCCACACACCTTTCACAGGACCCACATGTGCTAAACTGCAGCTTCTTCCATCACCTTATGAGACTCTGAATGTGGGATAACAGTTAACATTTATCACAGCAGATACCAGGCTACCATTTCACAAGGTTGTCACACTATAACTTAATAACTTATAAGTCAGGCACTCCATCCAGTATATAGATGAAGGGACTTGGATTCAGATATGCCACACCAAATAGATGGTAAGGTTGGGTTCTGATACTGTATCTTGCTACTGCCAGAAGATAAGCTCTAAACCACTAAGCCCTAAGTTCCTCTTTATGAAAAAAGTACAATAATATATTTAAAAGAGCTCTTTGATGGAGTAAGAAAGGAAGAAACCAAGAGCCCAGTAGACATGTACACTGAGTGATGTATAGATGGATTCTGCTTGTCTGGCTCCATTGATAGACACTGTATAGTGCTTTGAAAGTCATGTGTCTTGGCCTTGATTTGTTTGAACAGGAGACCAAGATGGTAGGGAGGTCAAAGTGCCAACAGCACTGGGTCTTGGCTTAGATAAGACTGTTAAGTGACATAAGAAAGAGAAGGAAGAAGTTAAGAATGGTAGAAAATGGGGTATGGGGACCTCCCTGACACATGCTGAAGAATACATCCAGGATGCAGTGATCTAATGGCTACACTGCCTTCTCTTGGGGGGAAATTCAGGCTGGCTGGAGTCTATCTTGGTAAGACAAACAGCAGAAAAGTTTCTTAGGAGTTGGGAGGTGGCTCAGTGGAAAAAAGCACTTGCCACGCAAATATGAAGACTGGAATTCAGGTTCTGTTCTAGTTTACTTCCTGTTGCTGAAATAAAACACCAGAAGCAACTTGGGAAGCATAGGGTTTATATAATCTTACAGGTTATATTTCATCATCAAGGTAAGTCAAGGCAGGAACCTAGAGGGAGAAACTGAGACAGAGACCATAAAGGAATGACTGCTTACTCACTTGCACCAGGCTCATGTTCAGATACCTTTCTTATACAACCCAGACCCACTTGTCCAGAGATGGTACCACTCACAGTGGGCTGGTCCCTCCAATATCAATTAGCAATTTTTAAAGTGCCTCATAGACATGGCCATAGTCCAATCTAATCAAGGCAAATCTATAGTTGAGGTTTCCTCTTCCCAGATAACTCTAGATTTGTGTCAAGTTGACAACTGAAGCTACCTATGACAGATTTCCAGAACCTATATAAATGCTTTGTGTCCTGCCTGTAATCCCAGCACTGGGAAGGCAGGGATCCCTACAGCAAGTTGGCTAGCTAGACTAGTTAAATAAATGAGCTCTACTTTTAACAAGAGACTCTGCCTTGATAAAACAGAATGCATACATAATGTGCATGTATATATACGTGCAAACACACACAACTCTTACACTTGCAAAATTTCTTAGTATATATTTATATATAAAGTATGATTTAAATTGATTTTGAATCTTAAATACACTACTGTAGAACTGGGACTATTTTCCCAGTTTTATAGTACATGAGAGACTATCTTTCCTAGAACTTAACATGCTTCAAAATGATATTGTGGCAGTGCTCCTGGGTGTGGAGTCATGAAATTGAAATAAGCAAAATGCTGCAATAGCCCTCATAGAGCTTAGTAGTGGGCATACAATAAACAAAATAAGATGTATAAATAGTGGTGGTGATAGACATTATAGAGAATGACTAGAGAGAGAGAACGGCCGCTAAAAGTTAGGCTCTCAAACAAAAAAATACAAGAGAACTGTAAAGATGGTGATTGCATATAGTGTTGGGCTAGGGTATTGTTTTATCCAGATGTTTAGAAAAGGGCTAAATGATAAAATAACACATGAATGAAGATGTGATAAGGTGGACAAAGTCTAGTTGATAAAGAAAAGCTCTTTACAGAAAGCTTTAATAAATGTAAAGGCACTAAAGAGCTAGAAAGTCTCTACCATATTTAGGCACAACTAAATAAAGTTCATTTGGTTCACAACTGCAGCAGCAAAGTCCAAAGAGCATGGCACTGGCTCAGTCAGGGGCCCTTGGCAGCATCACAGCATGATGAAGACACAGAAAGGGAACCAGCCAAGCACAGAAGAGGCCAAGCACATGGCAGTCTCACCTCATAACAGCCCACCAGTGTGAAAACTCACTCTTGCAAGACCACACAAATTCATTCAGGAAGGAGGAGCCTCTATGACCTACCCACTATCTGCTGAGTCTCTTCTCCTCTGGGTCTATCACCTCAAAACAGTGACCCTGGGGACTGAGCCTATATCTGTTTGGGTAATCTTTTACACTGTGTGAAGACATCTCTGTGTTTTCAATTAATTCTTTACTGGCAGAGAGCTAAATGCTGGCAGGATCTTGGTATGGTTATTTCTATAGCCCATCACTGGTCTCGTATTTTGTAAATATTTGTCTTTCCTCATTAGTCTAGAGGCAATCTAGAATTGTATATAATTGGTTGTAATAGTATATAATTGGTTGTAATAAAGACCTGATGATCAACAACTGGGCAAGAAGAGGGTAGAACTTCAGAGAAAGAAAGAGAGAGAGACAGAGACAGAGACAGAGAGAGACAGAGATACAGACAGAGACAGACAGACAAACTGGGAGAATAAATAAGATGTGGGGATTCACCAGCAGATGGACCAGTGTGGAGGAGAGAGATAGAGCTAGCCATGGGCAGAATGTAGTGCCAGGAATAGTTGGGTTAAGCTAGATAGCTAGGGCTGGGAGACTGCCCTAGTTAAAATGCCTAAGCTTTAAAATATTAAAAAGCCTCTGTGTCATTATTTATACTGCTGGCAGGTCCAAATGTTTATATATATTATACCAGCAAAACTGTTGCACAAATCACACCCAAGCCACATTTTCAGACAGGCACTATCCTTAGTACTACTGAACACAACTTCATATTTCCAGGCAGTGATGACTTATCCTTTGCCATAAGAGAAGAAACTAGAATGCTAGTGAAAATCACCTGGAACCCTGGTAGTGGCAGTGAGTTTTCAGGATAGAAGATGAGGCTTCCCCTTAACATTTCATTGCAAAGTTGTCACAATACTGGAATAGGCTCCCTTGGCATCAGGATGGGTTCTCCATTCCATAAACTCTGAGGGAGGAAACTACTGCTTTCATGTTTTTTTCCCTTTAAAATTTCATGTGTTCATAAAAACTAAAAGTTTAAATAATTAAAACTGGAGTTTGGGAAGTTTTAGCTTAAAGATTTATTTATTTATTATATATGAATACACTGTAGCTGTCTTCAGACACACCAGAAGAGGGCGTCAGATCTCATTACAGATGGTTGTGAGCCACCATGTGGTTGCTGGGATTTGAACTCAGGACCTCTGGAAGTGCAGTCACTGCTCTTAACCACTGAGCCATCTCTCCAGCCCGGAAGTTTTAGTTTAATGTAATAGATAAAGATTTCTTACCTGACAAATAGACTATGTGCTTCTTGCTTTGGGTCCGAGAAAGAGGAATGCTCAGTATGTATGTAGATACAGTGGTCTGTGGATTCGATGTCCTTTCCCAGAGCATCACCATGGGCTGAGAGAATCAGAGGGCTGCTGCCTTCATGGCTTTTTAGTAACACTACAATTCCTTTAACAGGACAAGTTAAAGCCTGTAAAGACACAGTAGTGCAAAGTCACAAATGAGAGCAAGCTATAAAACAAAGGAGTAACATCTATACTGAACTTTAAAAATACCATTTTCTGTGCATGTGCATGTATAAGTTCTGGTATAGGCAGACCATGGCACACATAGAAGTTAGAAGATAAACTGGAATATTGGTCTCCATCTTTCACTTGTTTGAGACAGAGTCTCTTGCTGCTTGTCACTGGGTATGCCAGGCTACCTAGTCCCTGAGCTTCAGGTGATTCTCTTGTGTTTGCCTCCCATTTTACCATGGGAGCCCTAGGATTACAAACACATACTATGACATCCAGCTTTTATAGGTTCTGGGGATCCACAGTTGGGTCTTCATGCTTGAACAGCAAGTACTTTATCCACTGAGCCATCTTCCCATCCCCCAACTGAGTTTTATTTTTAGATAGGGTCATCTATGTAGCCCAGGCTGGCCTAGAATGCCTGCTCCTCTAAAGTGTTTGAATTACAGGTGTGCACTATTACACCCAGGTTTCAGCTAATATTCACTACTCAACAAGATACTTTTCAAAAATAGAAAAAAAAAGTGTTTTAGGGCTCTGATTCCTAGTCTGGTTACTAAATGATTTTAGGGCTACCTTTCAGAGAAAGGCATGTTACAGTAACCTTGATCAGGGCTCTGTGGAGGCCCAGAAAGCAAAGATATTTCTCTGGCTTGGGTGGAAACCTAATATTCCAAGATAGCCAAAACAGGAGAGTTAGTGCAATTGGGCCAGAAAATCAATCACCTGGCCAGGGGACTACCTCTCAGGAAGGCAGACTCACCTTAAGCCATGCTAAATACATAGAAGGAATAATTGGTTTTTTAAACTTCTCTTTATTTTTTCTTCATTGGTGAGGATATAAAACTTGGCAAAGTACATTAGTCATTTTTTATAACTTTCAAACTTTAATAATTTATTTTTGCCAGGCAATGGTGGCACGTGCCTTTAATCCCAGCACTTGGGAGGCAGAGACAAGCGGATTTCTGAGTTCGAGGCCAGCCTGGTCTACAGAGTGAGTTCCAGGACAGCCAGGGCTACTCAGAGATACCCTGTCTTGAAAAAAAAATTATTTTTATTTTTAACTTTTTATTGATTCTTTGTGAATTTCACATCATTCACCCTAGTCCCACCCCCTTCATATCTGCCCTCCCCCTTGCCAAAAGAAAATAAAGATAGAATAAAAAAAAAATCTTGTCATGAAAGCTGCAATGTGTCCCACAGTCTACCCTTCTGTCCATACATCATTACTTGCAAAGGTACACTGCAATGAATCATTGGTCTGTTTGAATCCTCTGGCTTCTGCTACACTATCAATACTGGGTCCTCATGAGGGACTCCTATAGGATATCCTGTTGTTGCCCTGTGTCATGGAGATCCTGCAGCTTTAGATCTGCAGGGCTGGCCCTTTTATGTGTTCCAGCAGATCACAGATGGGGTAAATATTGGGGTGGGCCAACTCAAAACCCTGGATCTGGGCCTAGGAGGTATCTGAGTTGGTCAGCCTGCAAGCTCTCCTGTGCCTGTACCACCAGGGCGAGCTCGCCAGCACTGCCCTGGCTAGCTCCCCTAATGCTGCAACCAGCAAGGGGCAGGGTCAGCTCTCCTGTTCTTATGTCCTTAGGATCTGCTAATCTGGGCTTTCACCACCAGGGCCTATGCTCTTCTATGCTGCTCAGACAAGGTACAGGGCCCTTTTCCCAAGAGCTGCAGCCAATGAGGGGTGGGGCCAGCTTTCTTGCTCTCATAACTTTGGTGCTAGCTCAACCCATGGCACCCCATGGCAGATAAGGGGTAGGGACAGCTGTTCCCCCCCCCCAACTCCCAACCACAACTCTACTGTGCTGCCCAGGTGAGTTGCATGGCCTGCTCTCTTGAGTGCTGCAGCCAATGAAGGGCAGAGCCAGCTCTCCCCTACTCTCATAACCTCAGGGCCAGCTCTCCTGCCTGCTGCAGGTAGCAAGGGGCAAGGGCAGGGGAGAGTATCTCTTCCTTACCCAAGCCACCCCACATCAGATTAGGGGGTAGAAGCAGGCCAGCTCCCCTGAACTCATGTCCTAGGAGTCTCCTCACATATTGCTCCCCTACCTAGTCATCAAGGTCAGCTTTTCTGTGCTGCCTAGGCAAGGGGCAGGGCCAGAACATCTGAATGGCCTTTGGTGGTAACACTGGTCTGGGACATCAACACAGTCCTGGCTGCCATAGGACTACAGACCTAGATATGGCACTTGGTGGCAGCCTGAGCCAGGACCTCACCAGGCTTCCTCACACCTGCCTGTTCATCACCACCATCAAGACTCCAGTTTCATCCTTCTCCACAGTGCATGAACCTCTTGGCTTTGCTTTCTCTTCCATATCTCCACTGAGTACTCCATCTTTCCATCACACATTGTCTATCATAGTGACACCCACAGCAAGTGCTTCGGTGACTTTCTTCTAGCCACCCCTGGCAGCAGATCCCAGGCAGATCAAATAATTATCCTTTTAATGAAATAATATAGTTCTCTTTCCAGAATTCCCTCCTTCTAGCACAGTTGCATATAGAACCTCAGCTATACAGCTTTAAGTCTCCCTGCTTTTCTTAAATGTTTTTACTAATTCTTTGAGAATTTCATACATGAATGAATACCTTGTATTTTGATCATACTCAACCCATCTGTCTTAGTTTGGGTTTTACTGCTGTGAACAGACATCATGACCAAGGCAACTCTTATAAAGGAAAATATTTAATTGGTGCTGGCTTACAGTTTCAGATGTTCAGTCCATTCTCATCATGGCAAGAAGCATGGCATTGTCCAGGCAGACATGGTGCTGGAGAAGGAGCTTAGAGTTTTAGATCTTAATCCAAAGGCAGCAGAAGAATGGATTCCATGCTGGGCAGAACTTGAGCACAGTAGACCTAAAAGCCTGATTCCACAGTGACATAAAGCCTGACTTCATAGTGACATAATTCTTCCAACAATGTCACATCTCTTAATATTGCCACTCCCCATGGGCCAAGCATTCAAACAAGTAAGTCTGTGGGGACCATTCCTAGTCAAACCACATGTCACCCCTTCCCCTAGCCCTCCCAGATCTGCTTCCATTTCCCAATCTATACTGTCCTATTTTTTATTTGTATAACACACTAAGTCCAATTTGTGTTGCCCATACACTCATGGGTGTAGGCCATCCACTAGAGCCTAGTCAACCTATCAGGCCACACCTTCACAGAAACTTGACTTTACTTCACCATTTGTCAACAGTTCCTCACTTAGAGGTAGGAACTTGTGAGCTCCTCCCACTCTGTGTGAAATGTTGGCTGCTTGATCCTCTGAAGGTCTTGTGTGGCAACCACAGCTGTTAAAATTCAGGAAGGCTATAATCCAGTCATATCCAGAAGACACTACTTCATTCCAGTCTTCTCTAGGGTGTAGCTCTTAGCAATCTTTCTGTCCCCTATTCCATAATGGTCTGTGAGCCTTTCGGAGGGTGTGATATGATATAGATGTCCCATTTGTGGCTGAGAATTCCACAGACTCTTATTCTCTGACCTTTTTGGTCAGTTGTGTATTTTTACATTAACCACCATCCAATGCTCAAAGTAACTTCTCAAATAAGATCTGCATTAGTCTATAGGTTTACAAATAGACATTTAAGAGGGCAGTTCCTCTTTTCTGAACTATTTTTTTAAAAAAACATAATTTATCCTTTTCTTTTTGTCTCTAAGCATGCTTTTCCCATCATTTTGGGATCCTGTACTATTTCTCTAGCCACCATGTGGCAGCTTATTTGCTACGTAGCTGAGCTTCATACTAGCCTAATTCAAATGCCATGGCTTTCTCTCCTCCTCTTCTCTTTCTCCACTCTCTGAGCAGTTGCCAAGATTTACAGTTTTCTTGCCTTCAGGTCTTTCTTTTAAAGTAAATTGTCCTTGAAATTAAATTTAAAAAAAAGGCTTCCTCACTATAAAAAAAAAAAGATTCAACATAATTTGTATCAAGCCCCTAGCTCGATGTTTACAGAAAATATAATGACATAATGAAATAATAGCCGGGCAGTGGTGGCGCACACCTTTAATCCCAGCACTTGGGAGGCAGATGCAGGCAGATTTCTGAGTTTGAGGCCAGCTTGGTCTACAGAGTGAGTTCCAGGACAGCTAGGGCTACACAGAGAAACCCTGTCTTGAAAAACCAAAAAGAAAAATATGAAATAATGATAATATTTATATGGAAGTGCAAAGGGACCCTGATAGCCAAAAAATAACCTTGAAAAAAATTAACTCAGTTGGACGATGGAAGAGTCACACCTTCTGATTTCTAAATTTATTATAAACCTCAGTAATCAAGACAGTATGCTTTCTAGTATAAGACAGAAACAAAGATTAAAGGAAAGACTCAAACATATGGAAATCAACCCTTAGAGGTGACATACCATACACTTATAACCCTAGCATTCAGAAAACTGAGGCAGGAGGATGGTCATGAGTTTGAGTTTAAGGCCAGCTTGGAGTATACAGTGAAACTTTGTCTCAAACAAAACAAAACAAAAGCCCAGGATAGAAACAGAAATCAACCCTTAGATTTACAGCCAACTGATTTCCAATGAAAGTGTTATGAACATTAACTTTATTGTCAACTCGTCTGGACTTAGAGATACCACGGAAATATATATCCTTAATGTGTCTATAAGGATGCTTTTAGAAAGGCTTAATTTAGCAGGGAAGACCTACTCTGAGTGTGGGCAACATCATCCCATGTACTCAGGTCCTGGAATGAATATAATAAAATGAAGAAAGTCAGATAAGACATCTGTTTCTGCTTCCTAAACTGTGAGTGCAATATGACCAACTATCTCAAGCTTCTGCTATCAGGCCCTCTCCACCATAAAGAACTATATTCTCAAATTTTGAGCAAAATAAACCCTCCCCCCCAACTGTTTTTGTCAGAGATTTTCTCACAGTAATGAGAAAAGTAACTAATAAAAGCACTAAAAGATTTAAATGAGAGGCTGGAGAGATGGCTCAGTGGTTAAGAGCACTGACTGTTCCATAGGTCCTGAGTTCAATTCCCAGCAACCACATGGTGGCTCACAACCATCCGTGATGAGATCTCATGCCCTCTTCTAGTATGTTTGAAGACAGCTACAGTGTACTCATATAAATAAAAATAAATATTAAATTTTTTTTTAAAAGAAGAATTAAAAGAGAAGAGTATTTTCAACAAATAGAGATGGGATGAATGGATAGTCACCTGCAAAGGGTGAATTTCCACAGCCTAGAAAAAGATTAACTAGAATGGATCACGGATTTAGATTTAAGAGCTAAAACCACAAAACACTTAAGAATAAAACTAGGGCAAATCTACTTGACTTGGGGAAGACAAAGCAGGGGTTGGGGAATGTGAATATGTAAGTGTATATGGAAGCCAGAGCAGAAAGCCAGATATCTTCTTCAATTGCTCTTCATGTTATCGCTTTGAGACAGAGTATCTCACTGAACGGACAGCTTAGTCTTTTAGCTAGGCTAGCTAGCTAGCTACAAAGTGCACAGGATTCCCAGTCTCAGTCTTCCAATGCTGAGGTTACATGCATGCAAAGCTGTGCTCTGCTTTTTCTATGACTGCTGGGGATCTGAACTCAGTTACATATGCTGGCAAAGCAAATGCTCTTACTCACTGAGCCATCTCCCCAAGCCCCAAGCATTCTGAATATGCTAACAAAAGAAAAAAATGGGATCTTTAGATTTAAAGGTTTTTTTTTTCTCAAATTTCTCAAGAAATTTGAAGGAAAATCTACAGATTGAGAAAATTGCAAGCCACATACCTTATTAAGGATCAGAATCATATAAAAACATATAGAGAATTCTTACATATCCAAAATAGAAAAAATCATAACCTAATTCAAAAATAGGCAAAAAACTTGAATTTCACCAAAGATATATGAAGAACAATAAGTACCTAAAAATGTTCAGTATCACCACTGTTGAGCTAATGCACTTCAGCAGTACAACAGTAACACTTGGCATCCACAAGAATGGCTTAAGTAGAAAATAGAATAAAATCTCCAGCAGGTGCAGAATTTGACCCCCTCAGGCGTTACTGGTGGAAGGTTGAATGGAGAACCTTCTCTAAAAAACAGTTTGTCAGTTGCCCAGAATTGACAAGAACCCTACATTGTCACAATCACTTGCTGAAGTAGAGGAAGCAAGGCTTAAAATCTTATTTCTAGTTCTTATCAAAATCAGAAAGAGGATTTGTTTTGAAGTGAGGTCTTAACTATGTTTCCGAGGCTGAACCCTAATTCCAGAGTTCCAGTTACCCTCCTGCCCTAGTCTCTCAAATGCTAGCACCTCAGGCATGTGACACTACTGTTTTACTAACCTGCTTGGCGCTGAGCTGTGTGGAACTGTCCTTGTACATCAATGTCACCACCAGGGCTGCTGCCTGCTTGAGAGCATCCATCAGCTGGACTTTAGCCAAATCACCCAAATATCTAACATCACACAGCTTTCTTCCCAAAGCTCTTGTGTCCTCAGAGTTTGGCCAGGATTCAGTCCCATCAGTATCTTTTTCCAGTGTTATGTGTTTACTTGCTTTTTGGGGGTAATTACTACATGTAACATACTTTCTTTTAAGATTCAAGCTGTTCTTATATTCTTTGCCTATATTTTCCTTTAGGAAATGCTTTCTCTTATGCTCTAAGTTCTGTAAAACTGAAGCTTCCTGATCACACTGTGGAATTAAGTAACTGGAAAGACTCAATGAGCTGATGCTGTTCTGTACTTGACCAGCAGAGAGCTGACATGTGAGCTTAGTAATGGAGGGCTGACGAGAGAGCTCAATGGATCCTCTTGGTGTCTGGGTTATTAATGACTCAGGATTCTGCAGAAAAAAGGAAAAATATTTCATTACAACATAGGTTCACAAGACATGTCTAAAAACCAAGTGCATTTCTGATACAGCTTATCAAAATAATGGGAGCACACAAAGAGCACACAAGTCTTACATTCTCCATCATCTTTCTCTTTTCCTTTCCTGGTACATGCTAAACAAATGTTCTACCACTGAGCCACCCCTCCAGCCCTAGAACCACACTTTCCAAAAGAACTAGGAAGTCTTTCTAGACTATGTGATCCTGGAGCTAGAGCAGGTACAGGCTCAAAATGTTTCCTCAAGCCCCTATCTAGAAGTGACTCATCTCAGAAGATAATGATCAAGAGTGAGGCCTGCAATTACAGTTCCAAGTAGAAAGCAGACATAGAAAAAATGAAATCCTAAAAAATACTCGATAATGTTAATTGACCTATTAAATTAACAAAACTATAGTTCAGCAATATCTGTCTTCATTCTAGCAATATGCAGGTAACACTGGCAGATCCACCCACTAGCAGGAGAAAAGCATCTCTACCCATCTCAATACATTAGTTTGCAATGGTACTTGTCCTTTAATATTCATTTCCAAATTTATAATTTACCTTTTGCTTTGCACAACTGCACATTATATTAATTTTAAAGTAATTTTGAGCTGGGTGGTGGTAGATGATGCCTTTAATCCCAGCACTCAGGAAGCAGAGGCCAGCCTGGTCTACAGAGTGAGTTCCAGGATAGCCAGTGCTCAATTGAGTCTCAAAAAAAAGGAAAGGAAAGGAAAGGAAAGGAAAGGGAAAAGGAGAGGGAAAAGGAGAGGGAAAAGGAGAGGGAAAAGGAGA